TATAATCGTCGTTGAACAGCCGACCCAACTTTATGGGTTTACGGCTACTAATGTTCAACTCCGTAGCCTTGTAATTTTGAACCCAATCCAGAAGACAAGGGAACTCCTGGATCGAGTATTGGGAGAAATTTACCTTCGTAGAGAACTTTTTGAAGGAGCTAACCCGCATTTGCGTTACATGGAGAGGAAGACCACGAGAACCTCCCACGGTTAGTCTGACGGCTGGGGAACTTTAGCCCATGATTCGTCTACCACAGCACTGTGGTCGGTGCAAGCCGGATGCGGAATTCGTATAGACTAGGATTCGAACCAGGTTCGCCGCATCGGAAGGCGAACGCTCTATACCATGAGCCATCGCGGCTCTGACATAACTATTAAAAAAAAATACACGACTGTAGATAATTTAAATAAAGAATATAATCTTTGTGATAACTTTCATATTGTGATCTGCAGCAGAATAAACGCTATGTCTGGGCTACTTCCAGGCAGTGGCTCGCGAAAAACTTAAAAAATAAATAAATAAAACTAAAATAAAATAAACCTTGAAAGGTATAATTTGTAGCCATCTCAGACAAACCTCTACACGTTTTTTCCCCTAAAAAAGAAAAAAAAATTCATGCTTTAAATCTATTTTGTGCCTTGGTGATTGTAGTTGGGTGCTACAGATCACTATATGGAAATATCATCCTCATAAAAGAGTTAAAAAATATTCAACAGCTCTCAAATAAACCTTTAGTAACATGAATTTTTGCCATTTTCCATGATATTTTATAGTTGTGCTTAGAACTTTGAAAATGTTATTACTTTTTTATTATTTTAAGAACAAGTTTTAAAATCCTCCAAATAAATAAATAATAAATGGTACTCATATGAAAAAAAAAAGAATTTAACTAAATATTTTCAACAACTAAACCTAATTATAATTTATAGGCTGTCTCATAAATACTCCGCACCTATATATCGCTCGGTCTAAGAGTTATAGAGATATGGTTTCAATTTTAGAAATTGTTTATTTTTATCATCATTAATTTCTTATTAACTTTTTAGAATGTGACGGAATTTTTTTTCTAAAATTACAAATTTTAAATTTCTATACGGTCCCCGAAGACAAGCCTTAATACAAAAAATGTTACCCGCAAACAAAATAATAAAAATGATAAAAACACGTCATCCTAACTTAAAAACTAACTGAGATATCGATATTTATAGGCCGTCTACTTAATTCCAGTCAGACTGATATATTTCGAGGAAATGCGATGATTAGAAGAAAAAAAATAAACTACAGTGAAAATCGTTTGATAAAAATGATATTGAAATTAGATTTACTCATAAAATTTTTTATACAGATTTGCTTAATGGAATAAAAATGTAAATTCTTAGAAAACAGCATTATTTTTAGTAGTTCATTTATGATTACACTATTACTAAATGTTTTTCTTTTTAAAAAATATTAAAATATTTTATAAGTTGCTCAGAGACAAATGAGGATTCTAATACCAAATCGGTATACATTTTTTTTCTTTTTATATTTTATTATTGTTGAAAATTCGTAGGAATCATTTTTTTTTTCTTCTTTAAGATGATATATAGTAGTTTTTTCGTTTTATTTGGTATTTTAGACAATGATATAGAAATTTCGAGTTAGTAAATGAATTAATAACATGCATCATTTAGAATACTTTTGAATTTTCTGAAGTTTATTATTACTATACATTATAATTTTTTTTTGAGCTGCAAAATTGATGATAACATAAATTAAAAAACGATAAATTAAAACTAAAATCAAATAAAAAATTGTTTACACTTAGACCATCAAAAAAGCAGATAAATTCATTGCCCAACAATATAGATAATATTTCTGCTGCAAAGGGGAGCTGAAAGGACATTTGGCCTAATTTGGTGCCATTTTACAGCGCAACAAAGGAAAAACGATAGTTGCTTTTGTTCAACGAATATATTTCAACAAATTGACTTCATTAAATTTTCGATTCTGATTCCATTCAAATGAAGCATAAGTTAAAAATAAGTTTTTGACTAACTAGAAAAAGATTCTAAAAACAGGATATACTGAAATAAAGAATCGTTTGTCCTTTTCTAACTTTACAATATTATTAAATAATGAGAGGAAACTAAAGTATCTTTTAAGCTAACCTTTTCTTTACAAGAAAAATTTAATTCGTGAAAGATATAAATTAAATAATTTTACATGCGTAACATAACATACATACATTACATAAGTTTAAATAATTTTACATACGCGCTTCATTTAAATTATATAGCGAAAAAACGATTAGAAACTTTTATAATTCTTATCGAATTTAGATCCAAAAGATCGTTTGTTTGTTTGATATTTTATTCGTTTGAAAATTTGCAGTAGTTTAAATCATTCTTTTGATTTGAAAAGTAAAAGTTCTTTTTTTACTGTGAATATTTCTTTCCTATAAAAATTAGCTGCATTAGACTTCTATTAATATGAAAGCTTTAAGTTAAATAAAATATTTATATCGCATAAGTTATGTCTCGTTATAGCAATGAAGAACTCTTTGATCCAATTATGATTTAAGTTGTAATTAAGTGCTACTTTGATAATTTTACTTCATTAATAGTACAATTTTCTTAATTCTAAATTTGTGTCATAAATATGTTTTTTTTTTTTTACTATGTCATAAATTACGAATAATTAGGATTTAAATGTAAAAACATGTCGTCGAAAAGATGAAACATTAATTACTTTTCAAAATTTATTAATTAAACTCCCTTCTTTTAAAATTTTAAATATAAGATTAAATATTCTGCAAAGTCTATATCTTTTTTGCTTAAAGGTTTAGTCAAAGCAACCTTTATATTTAGCTCCATACTAAGCTAAATTCTGAAAATTGTGAATTTAATATTAAATATGTAACTGTCAATAATTTGTAAAATAAACTTTGTAAAAGTAATAAAATATTGTTTTTACTTAATTGAGATTTTAATGCTCTTATTTTCTCTCTTTATGAAATATCCAACTCATTTAATTTATTAAATAAATTTTAGTCTTAATAGAACTTTCCTTCACAACTTTAAGAGAAAATTTTATTTAAATATTCCATCGAGAAAAAATAAATAAATTGTGAAGTAAAATTGTTTTTATTTCTTTCAAATTTATGAGATATTACAAATTGTTAACCGTTAACTTCTAAATAAACTCGCACAAATAATTAAATATTAATTTTAACTACTTTATTTCTATACATTTATTTTATTTATTAATTTTTAAATGTAAATTGCTTAAGATAATTTTAACTAAATAAGAATAAATTATAAAGGCCGCCAGTATATTCATTTAAAATCTATTATTCTTAGATAATTCTATTTCATTTTTGCATTTTTCATAAATTTAACTCTAAATATTTTATTTATCTAATGATAAGATTAAAATGTTCAGTTTAAGATAAATATTGGCGATCGATATGGGTTGCGGGTGGAGAAGAGCAGAACTCTCTACCTATGGCAACACTTCACATGCTTTCCACATTAGCGTGTGGAGAGTCATAGAGGAAGGGAGTACGTTAATTTCTCGCTTAAATTTCATATAAATTAAAATCTTTTAAGTTAGAAAACTATATGGAACTGAAAACTACATTAAGCATGTTCTAAAAAAAGCATCACGGAAGTTTTAAAAAATATTGTTATTAAATAAAAAGGAAAAATATTAAGAAAAGGGAAAATATCGTAGTACATTCCTATGCAACCGAAAAGAGGAGGAAAGGGAAGGGAGAAGGGCTAAAGGCATGAAACCGGTTTCTCCCCAGATGGCATATTCGAGCGTTGCGATCGCTAATAAGTATCAGTATAAGTTTGCAATCCCCACCATGTAAATTCGAAAAAATTTTCTCTTTAAGGATAAATTTTGTAAGTTTTAATAACACGTTTTTTTTTATAGACTTGTTTACGAGTACATATAAAAAATTTTCTAATTTATGGTTTATACATTAAAACAACGGATAAAAAGTTAATTTTTCTAAAATCTTATCAAAACACGTCTATAACCCTTAGATCAGAGATGTTTAGGTGTGCAGTATTTTTGAGACATTCTGTATAAACACTTACACATCCATTTAATTATCTTCTATGTTAAAATGAATAATAAATACGTATAAGAGTTTGAAAATAAGCATATGGTGAAGATACTATGTTTGGCATAACTAATAATCTAAGTAAAATCCAAGTTTTATTTTTCATCAAATTTTTTTACAAAGTAAAAAAATATATAAGCATTGCAGCTAATGTTTTATAAGAGAATACTTCAAAATTTAAAAATAATTAAGGACACCTATGAATACATAGAAGATTATCAAAGAGATATAATTTCTTTTAAAAGGAAACAATAAACAAAACCCATTAGCAAAGAGAACATAAGTTTTTTTTTATTCATTTGTAAACGCCTAAGTATTGGGAAAATTTTTAACACATTACTTTTTTTACTTTTAAGCACAAATTTTCTCATTCCTGGTAGCTGTTTATTAAGTAAATATAAACACTATGTACCAATGAATCAACTGAGATAACGCAATAAATGCAACAGTGACGGGATTATTTTTTTTTTCTTCATATCTTAACTAATTGCCAATAAATACGCCAAATTTTGCCAAATTTTTGCAATCAAGAGTTACTTTCAACAGCCAATCGCAACGTCAGAAACTCGTAGCCCGGATGTGATCATCTTCTTGTTGCCATTGCGTAGTAGAAGTGTTAGTTAAAAACCATTATGCACGTCCTTGCATTTTCCTTAAATGCTCGTATTGATTAAGACTAAGACGACTTTGTGCTTGCCATGTAATCACCGTTTTGATTAAATCATTATTAAATTGAGGAACTAATATCAAAATAAATAAAGATCAAGACATCATGGACAAAGTATGATCGAACCTTTTAGCTATTCAGTACTGAGTATTTAGCGGAAGAACACTAATCCTTGGCCACAGTGGGGCCAAGCATGTTTCCTGTTCAGAAAAGTTGAAATAAAGTGAAGATAAGTGATTTGCCTTTCATGACGTCACAGCTTTTATACATACTACAATATATTCTTTAGACTTTTTATATACTGTTGTTTAGCACGTTAATTTATTTGTTTATAATTGTGTTTGTGCTCGTCGTAAATTGATTTCTCAATTCTTTCCTTTAGTGTAATATGATTAATGATTCCAATAATGGCGAAGTTCTAGAGCAGCAGGTATTATAATCAATTGGATATGTGCCTACGATTATCTCTTATAACGAAATTTTTTTCTTTACTGATTTTTGAATTATTTGACAACGATTACAAAAGTTTTATGTCATATTGATTATGTGTAATACATCTAATTTTGCCACATTGCATGCATTTATACGTGATTTGTAGCATTCTCGATGATGTGTATTTATATTGCCGTGTTAATCTTTGTTTTGTCCAGTTGTGGCAAAATCTACTATCAGAATATGGATTATATTTATCTCTTATTAGGTTTAAAACCTTACTTAATTAAAGTTTTATATATTGTTTTTAATTGAGTAATTACTGTGAAAGTGAATTAGAGTTCCACTTAAACAAGTCACTGACGTTATTGGTTTTGAGTGTATAGTAGAAGAAAGAAAAGTTCAATTATTTAATTGCGATCAATTCTTATTTTCATCGTGAAAAAAATTCAAAGGGCTTATAACAGATTCTTTATTGAGTTTGCTGCCCTTAATTTGCAGTCTCATCCTTTGTCATGTGTTGCACTTGTGTTGCTCATAGCATAAGTATTTGTCAAGCAGTATAATTCAGTAAATAATATAAAGTACTTGTACATAAAGTATCAATGCATGAAATTTTTGTCTATTTTTTTTAATGAATTAATTTCTTATGTCACAATCATATTTTTTTGGTTTCTGAATATAAGTATCAGAAGTTGTAGGATAATAACAGAATTTAGCTTTATATTTCTTACATAATAGTTTAACTGCTAATACTATCACCTGTTAATTAGGTTTTGTCACTTTTTGTCAGTTATTGCCACATGTATAGCAATAAAATATATAATCTCTCAGTAATACTACTTTTCTATAAAGCAGTAATTCTAAATATAAATAGTTTTCTAAATATAAGTATTAAAAGTTGTAGGATAATAACAGAATTTATCTTTATATTTCTCATATAATAAACAGTTTAACTGCTAATACTATTGCCTATTAATTAGGCTTTGTAACTCCTTGTCAGTTAATGCCACATGTATAGCAATATATATATATATATATGATCTCAAAGTAATACTGCTTTTTTATGAAGCAGTAATTCTTATTATAAAGTATTAAAAGTTGTAGGATAATATCAGAATTTAGCTTTATATTTCTTATATAATAGTTTAACTGCTAATACTATTACCTGTTAACTAGGTTTCATCACTCCTTGTCAGTTATTGCCACATGTATAGCAAAAAAATATATAATCTTTAAGTAATACTACTTTTCTATGAACCAGTAATTTTAAATATAGTTTTCTAAATATAAGTATTAAAAGTTGTAGGATAATAACAGAATTTATCTTTATATTTCTCAATTAATAAGCAGTTTAACTGTTAATACTATTGCCTGTTAATTAGGCTTTGTAACTCCTTGTCAGTTAATGCCACATGTGTAGCTATATATATATATATATATATATATATATANAATACTATTGCCTATTAATTAGGCTTTGTAACTCCTTGTCAGTTAATGCCACATGTATAGCAATATATATATATATATATGATCTCAAAGTAATACTGCTTTTTTATGAAGCAGTAATTCTAATTATGAAATATTAAAAGTTGTAAGATAATAACAGAATTTATCTTTATATTTCTCAATTAATAAGCAGTTTAACTGCTAATACTATTACCTGTTAACTAGGTTTCGTCACTCCTTGTCAGTTATTGCCACATGTATAGCAAAAAAATATATAATCTTTAAGTAATACTACTTTTCTATGAACCAGTAATTCTAAATATAAATAGATTTCTAAATATAAGTATTAAAAGTTGTAGGATAATAATGGAATTTATCTTTATATTTCTCATATAATAAACAGTTTAACTGCTAATACTATTACCTGTTAATTAGGTTTCGTAACTCCTTGTCAGTTAATGCCAGATGTAGGGTGACCTGGGGTAATTCCTGATCAAAAAATGCAAACATCTATTTTGTGAAAAAACTATTCAAGTGAGAATTTTAATATTTACTGGAAGTTTGAGGCTATATGAGATGAGTCCTATGCTACCTTCTTTTGTTTGAAAATCTAATTAGATTTTAAATTTTTAGTAATCAGGAATTACCCCTTCTCTTGATCAATTCTGGGGTAAATCCTGATCATTTCTAGGGTAATTACTGATCACCTGTTTTTATAGTAAATGGGCTGTTTAAAAATAATTATACAATGGTAATTAACAAATTAGACATTAAGATCAAACAAATAAACCAAAAAGATATGTTTAAGCAGCGAATAAAGCTTTTTTATTTAAAATCAGGAATAAAGATTAACATTTCAGCTCTGGCAGCAGCTCTCACACAGAAATTTTCATTTTCAATCATTAAAAGAAATTCACTATTTTTGCTTTCTAGAAGCTTAGTATTCTTTTTAAGCTTATAATTTCTCACCATATTTATATTAGGTTAAATTATCAACTTAAAAATGATTCTAACAATGTACACACATTAAATTAAGATAGAAGCTAGGTAAGACTATCTAGAAATAGTGCATATCAGAACACATTTTTCTTGTATACAGTTAAAAACAAATTTTGTGATTATAGTTAAAATATATTTTATAGTTGTTCCACTTAATTATGAACTGTTATTTAAGAAAAGACAATTGACTATTTATTAGCTATTTTTTATACTATTTATAAGAAGAAATGACAATGATCAGGAATTACCCCAGTGATCAATAATTACCCCATCTGTGGGAGGCAACATTTGATATAGTTTCCTATAATCAATTATAATGTTTACAGTAGATGTGAAATAATTAAGCAAAAGCCTACACTATTTTTATATCAAAGAAAAAGAAAGTAACTCAAAATATTTATTATTAACAGAAGGATATCTTTGCAGAAATGTGCACATTTTGAGACCCATCTTTGAAATGGAAAATACAGAAAGCATTTTAAAAGATACTTTTTTTGTGAGATTAAACAAAAAACTGTTATTAAGTAAATGTAGTTATGCTTTAGTAAAGTGTACAAGCATTCTTATCCATGTCTCAAATTTAAAAAAAAATTTAATTTTTTTAAATAAAACTTAGGTGATCATTATACCACCCTATGTTATACCATTATGTCACCCTATAGCAAAAAAAAAAAAATATATATATATATATATATCTATGATCTCTAAGTAATACTGCTTTTTTATGATGCAGTAATTCTAAATATAAGTATTAAAAGTTACAGGATAAAAACAGAATTTAGCTTTATATTTCTTATATAATAGTTTAACTGCTATATGATCTTTAAGTAATACTGTTTTTTTTTTATGAAGCAATATTTTTTTTTTTTTTTTACAATTTACTGACTTCCACAAAACTTTATATTCTTAACAAAGGTATTTGTAATAAAATATTCGTTTTAAAAGTTCAAGATAGATCAAAACATTCATTTTTTAGCCATATAATATTTTATGAATCATGATTAATCATGAAGTGTCATTTAAGTGGCTAACAGGCAATAGAAACCATTAAATTTTCAAACAGTTTACGTAAAATAATTTGGTGCTTCATTTAGTTTTATTTGTTAATCATTCATTAGTGTGAAAACTTAAACATTAAAATTTAACACACTTCTTACTAACACACATAGCAGATGTTAATGTTAAAAATAATGGTGGAAACTTACCAATTGTTTTTGTTACTGTTATATAAACTACTATAATTTTTAAATTTTCTGAAGATTTTCTTTTTCAAAAAACTCTTAATCAGGGCTCCCACGGTCCTTAAAAACTGCTTAGTTTTTATTTTGAAAATTAAGGGCCCTTAAAAGTACTTAATTTTGATTCAAGGCTTTTAAGCCCTTAATTTCTAGTATCACTAGTTGGTTGGAAAAAAATTTTTATCTTAGAAAAATATCCACAATTAAAAAGTACGTCTTTCGCCTGGAATGAGACCCTGCATCAAGGGTAGAGCATTTTGAATGCGTGTGAGGGTAGGGGTTTCAAGCAAGTGGAAGAAAACACACCCTTATTGTTTATTATTATTTTTTTTTTCATTAAAGTATTCTTTCTTTCTGGATCATTCTGAAAGAAAAAAATTTAGTGTGGGGAGAGGGAAGCGTTCTTGACTTATTTTTAGACAGTACTAAAGTACTTTATCAGCATTGACCTTCTACATCCATAGGATTAGAGAAATTCAATTCTTCTGATAGCACTTGTGGAAGCTTTGATACTTCATTCAAATGTGAAATTGTTAGAAATGCCCAGGAAAGTGTGTTTTTAATAATTTATGGACACTTGATGAAAAATATAAGGAATGACTAACAGCATCTAGTGATCGTCACAAGGCAAAGTGAATTTTTTCATTTTATTATATTTTCTTCTGAAATTTAATTTTATAAATGACTCCATTTCTTAATATTAGGGATATTATGAATATTCAGCGAGGTATAATTTTAATCAGGAAAGTCATTTTCGTCGTTTTATCATCGACACTTTTTGTTTCAAAAAGAGTGAAATTTTTGTTTTCTTTTTTAACTTTCGCTGTTTTGTTTTATATATATATATAGCGCTGCATTTCAACAGCGTTTCTAATATATATTTTATCTCTACTTTTTCTTTTAGAGTTATACTAGTTAGATAACCGGTAAAATCGAAAATTGATTTTCTGCATTGCAAGTTTTGTTTTAAGAATTAATGAAAATTTTCTGTTTCTCTCTTGCTTTTTTGATTAAATGTGTTTTTTTTTAATTTTGATAGCATATTTTAAAAAGCCTTCTTTTTAATCATTTTTTTCTAAAAATCCGGCGATTTTCTAAATTTTTAACGTTAAATTTTTGTTATAAAAATTGAGAACAATTATTTTTTTTGTTTGGCTCTCCTATTTTTTTTAAAAAAAAACAAAGCAAGAACTTTTGTTTTTGTTATGATGCGGCAATTTTAACGAGCACTACTCTTAGACATTTTTAGATCGATCTATCGCGGATTATCGACTTAACACACATATCGGCAGGCCGATATAATTACTTT